AGGGAGCGGGGCGGGCTGCGCCTGCCGCCCCACCCGTGCCGGAGAAACGTGCCTGCAGCAAGACACGGAAACCGCGCTTGGGTTGTTTTCCCCGTTCCACATCCCCAAGCGTTTTTGTGAAAGGGCTGTTGGCACATTTAAGTGCCCCATGGCTTTAGATCCTACAGCAGTGTCTATCCTACAGCCTATTAATGCCATAATATTCTGAAGCACAGTGAAGCTGCTTAACTGCTTTTTTGGGGTTGTTTTGTTTTTTTTTGTCTTGTGGCAAAGATCAAGATGTTGCATGATGTAGAACAGCCAACCACAAAAGGACATCCAAACAGCCTCCTACTCACTTGGTTTATTCTAGACTTGAGCAAAACTACTTTTAGCACCTCCAAACCGCACAGGCACCTGTTCAAACAGACACTAGATTTTCAGATTCTTAGACAAGAAATTATTTGTAAAAAAAATCAATTCTAAGCAGTAATAAGAACTTCCTTTTTGAAATCAGGTTTCACCATGGCACCTTCTGGTATCCTGGTTTGAAAAAATAGTGACTCAACGGAGAAGCTATATACTGGATTCCCATCCAGCGCATCATACACGAGGCTATTCACCTCACAAAAATACATTAAAAGTCATCCTACATATAATGAATTTGTTATCACTTTGCAGGATCTGATAAAGAAAACAGGAACACAAAGGTTGATTTCCTATAAAATACAATTCAGTTAAACACTTCGCACCTTTGTCACAGTACCTGTACTTGTTGGTTTTTATTCCTAGGATGGTTGTATATTCCATTGCTCACCTTTTGCTGCTCAGCTATGAAGAATAATTAACTGGATTTGAGTACACAAACCACAACTCATTTCTCAAAAAAAAGAGCTTGTGGTTAGACTGCCAGAAGTGCTTTCACAAACATTGCAATAAATAGGAACTTTTGTAAATCACTCTGCTCTTGCTTAACAACTCCCTTTGTAAGGCTGTCAGCTGGTTGTGCTTGTTTTAACAGCTTTTATTTTGGATCCTCTTTGCATGACAAAAAATTTATGTCATCCTGGAAAGTTAATCAAGGTGGGGGTAGGGAA